TTCTTTTCAGGGATATTTAAGACTGATGACGTGAGGGATATTTTAGGATGTGGATTTTAAAGGACAATTGACACAAAAGGAATTGAATTGCTAAATGTGATTATTTTTAAATTTTGATCAGAGATTTAGTTTACGTCATTTACTTTAACGTAAGTCTGGTAAGCTTTAGTCATGTTCATGAAATTTATGTGGACGTAACTCAGGAGAAAGTAAGCCATTGCATTCGTGTTCGATTGCGTAGATCATGAGTCTTACCACATGCAGCTCCATACAAATTGCTTTTCAGTATTTTGTAATCTCTATTTCAACCACTGGCATCACGATAAAGAGACCAACAGACGACCCAAATCATTCCGGTGACATTTGTGCGCCCGTGTCACACTGACATCGGCACGTTCATCGTGTGCGCCCCTCCCCTCCCCTCCCACCCCCAAGTAAACATATCGCGTATTTGAGCGACTTAAATGTTTTTATCTTTCCCGCCAGGGTCTTGCAGCGCACTCGGTCCATTGCTTTGTTTATTTCCTTATTGGCCTGTTTTTATGTCTGAGTAAAACCCAGGAACGGATTATTGATGCACCTGCCAATAGTTATGTAATGTACATATTCCCCCGGTATATGGAGGAAAAAAAATAGATAAAGGCGCATCAATTTTGCTGAAATCTGACTCATTCAAAAGTTGTTTGCTTTTTTTTTTTGGTTCTTCTTTTTCTTTTTTTAATTGTTCAAACCCAACCTTGTAAAAGTCTGTGTCTGGTCGAATCTTTCTCAACCTTCGAAAACTCCATGTCATGTCATCAGAAAATGTGTCATTGCCAACTACAAAAATGTACCAAGACAAGATTGAACTATGTTTCAGAGCCCTGGACATTTTTTTATATCAAGTTTTGAAAATTTAAGTTGGAATCAGATATTGTTTTTTTTTTTTAATAAGTGTATTATTTCAAGATGTTTATTGTAATGCATTCTCCCAATCCAGTATACGACACATAAGCTGACCACTGAGTGGGCCGTGATAAGCTTGTCTTGACCCCCTACCAATTCGGCAACGTTGGTTTAGGCTTTAGAGCTAAATCTTGTGCGCTTGCTTGTAGACAGCATCCTAGAAAGGATGATGTACATGAATGTACACATGTTTACCAAGATTGTGAGTACTGGCCTAGCATCATTAAAGAAGCTGCAAGCCATGGTACTTCTCAATGGACTCGTGGAGCTTGCGTGTGTGCTTCAGCAAGTGTAGTGGTTTAGAAATGCAAGAAACGTTCTTGTGTTTGGTCACACTGCCACACCGACATTTTTGTATGCTTCATTCCCGAGCAAAAGTGTTGAAAAACAATTTATTTATTAATTATATATAACTCTATAATTTGTTAAATTTGCATATATATATATATATATATATATATATATATATATATATATATATAGATAGATGGAGTGAAAGATATATAGATGTATATACAGATATATATATATATATATATATATGTATATTAATTATATATAAATATATATATTGTTATATATATATATATATATATATATATATATATATATATATATATATATATATATGGATAGATAGATGGAATGATAGATATATAGATGTATAGACGGATATATATATATATATATCTGTGTTTAGCGGTATAGGAGGTAACAGTAGCGTATCTTTTTGACGTGCTGGAGGTAACAGTAGAGTAGCGTATCTGGTAGGTTATTATGGGTAACAGCAGCGTATCCGGTAAGCTGTCGGGGGTGAACAAAGTATCTCGTAAGCATGCAGGCGTTACAGTACCTCATCTAATTTTGTTTCAGAAGAAACACCAGTGCACAAGAGTAAAGTGTCCGACTTTTGAAAGCTGATCCAGTGCCTGTACGCTTGGGTAGCGGTAGCGGAAACTGTGCTGGTGGTGTGTAGGTGGTAGCAGATCCAAGAAAGAGATTATGTGGTAGTTATGCCAGAATCGATGCTCTGGTGCTGTAGAGCTGGTGAAACATTCAGTTGGGTCGCTGGCTAACGGCGGCAGACTTAGGTCTGATAAAACGCGAGTGGTTGCTAATCACGGGATGTCATAGAACTGAAAACAAAGAACTTCTCTGAGACGTTTGCTTGCACAATCGAAAAGGGTCTTTTTAAAAAAAAATTGACACCAGACAAAAAATCAGCCGAATACTAAATTCAGCTTCGCTCAAATTGCTACTCAGTGTGGCAGGATTTTAAACAAAGGGTGAAAATAATAATTTTAAATAATTAAACCAAGTCTTTTATTTGTGAAATGTGAATACAAATTATTGGTCGATTTCAGCAGACCCCGTTTTTTAAAAATTTAATTTCATTTATGTATTTTTTGGTTGGTTGGGGGGGGGGGGGGAGAGATTGACCCATCTCTAATATTTGGACTCGGAATTAATTGCCACCTATATATATATATATATATATATTTAATAGACAGATGACTCCCTGTCAACATCATGGGGTCTTTAGATTTATGATCCTGTTTGCTTCAGATTCGGATGAGAAAACTGTCATGCAAGGGTCATTGAAAGGTTGAATATAATTTAAAATACATGAGACTGAATGAACAAAATCTCAATAACAGCGCGCGTATTATATGCTCTTCTAAAATTCTGGAATTTATGGAATGCTCATTTCTGTTTTATTCTCAAAGTAAAAAGCATTTTCTACAATTATTGTTTGAATGATTCTTTTGAGTGCATTACGTTTTTTTTAATACGTATTTTTACGAATTTTAAATCTATTCCAAAGGAGACGAATCACTTTTGAAATAATTGTAACATTTTGTGTACTAGAATCGATTCGTAAAGAAATCGATACAAGGACTTTTCTAACAAAACTTTGGTGCGGATGAAATTCAGCATATCGAATAACGACGAGTGGGATCAAATCCTTGCTGCATGTTGAAATTCTCTCATTAAATCAATATGACTTAAGCAAATATCGGCCGCTGGAAAGCATTTTTTCCCCGTTCAAGACGTTGTTAAGAGAAATGCACTCAGAAGACTTCAGATGAAGAAAACTCGCTACTTTCTTGTTTGATGTTAGTGTGTGCTGTTTAATCTCGTTCACTGGGGACATGACGCGGTATTGCTACACGTGGGTGTCTACACGCTTTGGTTTCCTCAGGTTCCCAACAGCAAATCGCCTCTCTCCACCCTGCTGGATAACCCCAAGGGAACAAACCCCAGGGAACATCATTGGATGATGCAGCTTGGCACCAGTGACGTTGCAGGAGTTGCCGGAATGTTTCATTGTATCAATGTTTCGGGACTCCATCTCCGGGTTTGATTTCAGAGTTTCCTTCTCTTAGATGAGTTGCCATCCAAGGCTAACCAGTCCCATCCACCTGGTGGTGTTTTTGCTTGACTGGGCTCTGGCTGGCATTGAACTCCAGATCACCAACTTGAGATATGCTCAGTTTAGTCCACTTGGTCACCTGACAAAAGCAAACAAGAAAACACCTCATGAAATAATAAGGTTCGTCTTTACTCTTGGTATCTGCCAGCCAGAACCGCCTGGATGAAACATGTCCTCAAAGGACCGAATATATTTTTTTTTTTAAAACGAGCTCTTACCAAGGTTGGACAGCGTTATCACTCATCATTCTCTCATGAACTCTGTCATGTACCCTTTATTAAACTGTCTCATGTACCCTCTCTTGAACTCTCTCATGTACTCTCTCTTGAAATTTCTCATGTACCCTCTGTTAAACTCTCTCATGTGCTCTCTCTTAAACTCTTTCATGTGCTCACTCTTAAACTCGCTCAAGTACTCTCTCTTTGATCAATTGAATACTTATATAACACTTGTATCCATGTTATTTTAGCTGGCTCACAGCACTCTTGAACTCTCTTAAGTATTCTCGATCCCGCACATCAAATTCACACAGTTGTTTATAATTGTTTTCCCGTCGTCATATCCTCATTTAGCCACAATTGTACTACCCATGAAACTACTCTCGGACCAAAAAGCGTTCTCCTTAACAACAGTGACTCTCGTGACCCTCCTTGACACTGTATTGTGCTGATTGGCTCCTGACAAGGTCATGCGATATTATGTTGTGTGGAATTGTACCTAGTAACGCAAAGAGAAAACCTGGTTGTAGAATATGAATTTACTTTTTATTGTTGTGGACATAATTTGTTGACATAATGTGTGGACATAATGTGTGGACATAATGTGTGGACATAATGTGTGGACATAATGTGTGGACATAATGTGTGGACATAACGTGTGGACATAATGTGTGGACATGTAAAAGTTAATTTTACTGATTGTCTGGTTTACAAAAACTGAAAAATTCGTTAAGCAAATTACTTCTGACACCAGTGCAATGGTTCTTACACCAGTACAGTGGTTCTTACACCAGTACAGTGGTTCTTACACCAGTACAGTGGTTCTTACACCAGTGCAATGGTTCTTACACCAGTACAGTGGTTCTTACACCAGTACAATGGTTCTTACACAGTACAGTGGTTCTTACACCAGTGCAATGGTTCTTACACCAGTACAGTGGTTCTTACACCAGTGCAATGGTTCTTAAACCAGTGCAGTGGTTCTTACACCAGTGCAATGGTTCTTACACCAGTACAGTGGTTCTTACACCAGTGCAATGGTGACCCGAAGTTATTTGGAAGAGTGTCAAAGCCTCTTGCGCCACCCAACCCCCACACACACACACAACCACTTTTCGCCATCATCACCTACCCCTCGCTACCCCCCAAAACAGTTACCTACCAACAATGATATCTCTAAGGGAGTTAACTCATGTGAAGCTTACTTTTAAAATTAAAAAATTCAGTTATCATGCTTTGAAACTAATTTATCAGACAAGGGAAATAATTGAGAGATAAGCATTGCTCTACACGAAATTGAGATAGTAAATTCTAAAGTGGAAACATTTGTCGTCTAAAGATTTTGCCACACACACACACATAGCCAGAAAGAAACACACTATCATAAGCAAAATTAATATAATTGATTTAATAATTTCTTTTTATTTTTTTTTAAAGTGGTAAAGCTGTTGGAGGTTGTATTTTTTTTTCTTTAATATATCATGTGCGAGTTTTTATACTTAGTGCTATTGAGAATTTTATGAATTTTCCCAAAACACTGTTCTAACTTGCTGTTTCAAGAAGCACCTTCCTGCTATTAGAAGCTAATTATCTCTTTCTTATAGTTTTACACAAACAAATGCGCTCACAAGTCGTGAAATACTCACACATTCATAAAAACATTTTTTTTCCTTACTCAAGTTTTACATTAAAATGCATAAAATGTAATTTTTTTTTTTACAGAAACAAATTACCCAAGAAAAATAATCAACTTCTATGCCAACAAAATAAAGAACAAAATTATCAACAAAATAATAAATTAATAATAAAAAAAAAAGAATCGAATTAACAAAATAATAACAAAATAATTTTTACAATATTTTTGTATGGTTTAAACGTCTGCTCACAGACGTTAGCGAATGTTTCTTTCAAGCGAAGACTGGATTTAACGTATTCTTAACGTACGAAGTGCTGCTCGTTGCGACTATGTCCAGGAGACTTCAAGAATATGTGAGACTGTATGGTTGAAGGGTATGGTGTTGGTCCACGATCGCTAAAAGAAATATTTTCTGAACGCCCCTTTAAGTTTGTTTTCATTGTTCAAGTTGAACGTAAGCTAATATGGCCACAGATACAAAAAAATTTTTTTTTTTTTTTTTTTTTTTTTTTTTTTTTTTTGAACATGAAATAAATGACATCGTAGCTCAGCCATCCACATAATACAACTCATAGTTGTGTGCTGCGCGAGCTTGCCTGACACCCTTGCGATGGTCAGAGACAGAAGATAAGACTGGGTGACATAGCTAACAATTCCTGAAATGGTCAAGAGTTAAGATAGCTAGGTCGTCCTGGCTGGCTACGGACTTACATGTCCAGCGAGAGGACTAGCCAGCCCCAAAATGAACATTGTCTATTTTCAATATCCTCCTGCGGAGTAGCCACTGTTATCCTTTTCTTTAAACGCGGCGCTGTGGGGGTGATTACAGAACGGTAACTTGGTTCTGTCCAACATGTACACCGGCGCCCCACTTGTACCGGGGCACGTGGCGACGCTGTACTCGTACTTCGTAAACCCCGTCTCCACTTTCAACCTCCTCTCCGCCCTTCCGATGGACGCACACTTGGCACGGCCGTGGGGGTGCGACACGACGATGACCAGCTCTCTCTCAGCGTTGTCCTGGAACTCCTCCACGACCTTCTCGCACTGAGCTTTGTAATGCGCTACTCTCGACTCTAGCTCCGCGGCCAGGCTCGAGTCGTGCGTGCAGAAGAGCACGTTGCTTCTGTCCTCCTCAACGAACACTCCACGCTCTGCGATACCGTATCCCTGGAGAGAGTTTTCCGGTTTCAGTTCCTTGACCTCGGTATTGTAATCGACTCGACACCTGGTGGATTTTGCTTCTTTTTCGTCGAATACGACGTGAGCTGCCGTGACGACGCCAACCATCCACCAGTCTTTCTTGGGGGCTGTTGAGTGAGTACACCGTGCACAGGGACACGTCTTGTTATCATAAAAAGGATATTTGTTTACAAACCGAATTCGTCCACTTCCCTTTAAAAAGATACTCTTGCCCGACGTCTCCCCAAAAGGGTATGGGATTTCCTTGTCAGCGAATGTCTTCGGCCTGTCTTCGCTCACGTAAAAGATACTGAGTTTTACCGTTACTGCCGCTAATGCAAACGTCAAATCGACCAGGGACTGAGTCTGGTAGTAAGGGGGAAAGCTTACGATGCTGACATCATTGATCGGTATGAAACCGTCATGTTGCGGATTTTTTTCGCATTCATTATAAGATTGATAGACGCAATCTTCTGATTCAAAACTGTACGCAATCTCGTAACAATCTGGGGAAAAAAATATAGATGCATCAAGAAATACAGATTGAATATAATTAATGAATGATGTGTGCTATAGACATAGAGAAACGTGTTTTCACTTGATGTAAGTTTGTCCGTGGTTCATTTCTTGTTATACCTCAGCTGGAGTTTCACAGCTAAATGATGGATTTGACTTTGTGGATAGACAAACAATACGGCTGAAAAAGGATACACATTTTATTATTTTTTTAAATGAGATCAAGATGGCATTTTGTTTATGCCAGTAACAATGATTGTAATGGCACGAACAATCATTGCGATTACACCAACGATGGTTGTTCTAACACCGATGATGATTGTATTTGCACCAACGATGATTGGAAAGGCAACAATGATAATTGAAATTACGCCAGCAACGATTGACATGGCACCAGCTATGATTGAAATTTCACCAATGATGATTATAATGGCACCTACGATGATAGTACGGCACTAACCGGGATTTTTTTTAACGGCACTAACCATGCATGTCATATCTGTAATGATGATTGTGAAGTAAATTTTTAACGTCATTTACTATTACAAGAAATGACGCCTACCCGCATAATATCCCAAAGTAATGACCAGTTTTGGGATGTTATCATAAACTTTAAAAAAAAATAATAAAAATAAAAAACTAGCCCCAACTGGTAACTTCAAAAAACAAAACTAACATTAAATATACAGCCTACTTTTCGTTACTTGCATAAATAAGTACTTCTAAAAAGAAAATACTTTTAGGGCAGTGGTCTTGAATTGATATACATGATCCTATTATTATATTAAGTTGATTTATTTTGACGTTGCTTCAAAACAATAAAAAAATTATTTTTCCATTTGATATTCCATTGAGTCACTCTGTGCCAAATGGGAAATTCCTCACAAGTCAATGGAAATTACCGCAGAGAAAAAAATAAAAACCCACAATGTTTCTACACTCACCAGTCTTGGTTCTAGGGTAGCCCGCTGGATGTCTAACGATCGATTCTGCCTCGCGGTATGCTGCAATATCACAAATAAAACATTAGCACACCCTATACAATTTCAGATTGAGTGAAGGTTTAGAGTTTATTGACTGAAGACTTTTTTTTAGATGTATATCTGTGTTTCTTCTTCTTAAACCGGATTTCAGTAAAACTAAAGGCAAGGCATGTTTAAAAAAAAAACAACAAATTTAGGTGATGATGATGTTTTGTAACTTACAGTCATTTAATAAACCCTGAAAACGTGAACCAATCTTTCCAAAAAAAATTACTAATGAAATAATGGCAACAAATGTAATACATAGTGCTTCCATTCATGCCCTCTTTTGTGCGTCTTCCCCTCTAACACAAATGAAGGAAAACCACGATTAAATGGCAGGTTTAACATCACACTAAATTTATTTTAACCACATAACTAATTTCGGATTTTCCTGTTGTTAACATTAGCTACGTCAGTATATTTCTTAACATGGGGAAAAGGAGGGGGGCGATCATTGACGTAGTTCGGAAATTCCATTTCTTACATCATTCCTCAAGAAAGTGTCCCTAAGGCAGTGGTTCTTAACCTGGGCTCGATCGAACCCCAAGGGGTTCGGTGAGTCATTCTCAGGGGTTCGGTGGAGGTCCAAAAAAAATATCAGGAAAAAAAGCATATCTTATTTTTCCCATTAAGTAGGGTTCGGTGAATGCACATATGAAACTGGTGGGGTTCGGTACCTCCAAAAAGGTTGAGAACCACTGCCCTAATCTTTTAAGAAATAAAAAAAACGTATTTTTAGGCCCGCTATGAAATAATGTTTTTTTTACAATTTTTAGGGCCCGGCCCTACACAGCGGGTGTAGAGGGCCGGAGTGTGCGGCCCAGGCCTCATAATCACAGTGGATTTAAATGTACCACAGAAACCGTAAAAGTAGATCAATTTATTTATCATAAAAATTTGAAAAAAGAAAACGTGCTCTTCATGCGCTAAGTGATAACATTATATTTTTATTGGCACTTTTATAGACATTAAAATTCAACAGTTGCACCAATATTATGATTTTAAAATTATTAGATTATTATTTTGGGGAGGAAAAAAAGTGGGGGGTGTTTGGGGGGTGGGCGGGTGGCAAGGAGATTTGGCTTAAAAATGATCGCAGATGCGGCGATACATAAGCCTCCCATTAATGTATTTCTGGGAATTACATTTTTTTATTTTTACACCTTTTCTCTCATGACAGAAGAAATGTGTAGGAAAAATTTTTCCCGTTGTGCCTATATGAAAACCTTTGACCCAAGGTCGTAGATATTTTGTTTCACTCCAAAATATTAACTTCCAAACACTTGAGAAAAGAATTTGATTTTTTTTTATATTTATAAAAAAATATTTTTTATTTCTTTTGATTGATTTGTGTATTACTGTCGCACTTTTGGAGTTATCTCCCCCCCCCCTTTCCCCTTCTTTTATTGGTCATTGGTTCCGATCTCTAAATACATTTTAACAGAGGTAATCACATAACATACTTGAGCTGGGATGATATCTTTAAAAAAAAAAAATAACAAAAAATTAATGAAATAAAAACTAGAAATATATCTTTCTATAACAGTGAATATGAGGGATAACAAAACTAGGCTTTAAGCAAGGATTTGGGGCTGGGCTCGGAGCTCTGGATCAATATATATTTTATTAATTTTTATTATTTTTTTTTTGCCTGCAGCCGCAGTGGCGTGGAGATGGTAAAATTTCTATTTTGCTACGAGTTTTACTAAATAAATTGAACAAAGCACTTTCAAAATTATAAATTATTATTATTTTTTTTAGTATTTATTATAAATTGATGCCTCACTCTTCTACTAGCTATGTCTCCCACACTCTTCTACCAACTACGGTGCTCCACACATATAAAGTTGACTCGCCACACTCTTCTACCAACTACGGTGCTCCACACATATAAAGTTGCCTCGCTACACTCTTCTACCAACTACGGTGCTCCACACATATAAAGTTGCCTCGCCACACTCTTCTACCAACTACGGTGCTCCACACATATAAAGTTGCCTCGCCGCACTCTTCTACCAACTACGGTGCTCCACACATATAAAGTTGCCTCGCCGCACTCTTCTACCAACTACGGTGCTCCACACATATAAAGTTGCCTCGCCGCACTCTTCTACCAACTACGGTGCTCCACACATATAAAGTTGCCTCACCGCATTCTTCTACCAGCTACGGTGCTCCACACATATAAAGTTGCCTCGCCGCACTCTTCTACCAACTACGGTGCTCCACACATATAAAGTTGCCTCGCCGCACTCTTCTACCAACTACGGTGCTCAACACATATAAAGTTGCCTCGCCCCACTCTTCTACCAACTACGGTGCTCCACACATATAAAGTTGCCTCGCCACACTCTTTCACCAGCAACGTGGCCCATTCTTCTACCAGCTATGTTGCCTCTACCATCTAGGCAGCCCGACTCTTCTGCAACTTGCTGCCCCATTCTTCTACCGTTATGTTGCGCCATTTTTCTACAAGCTATGTTGCCCCAACCCTTTTACCAGCTATGCTGCCCAACTCTTCAACAGCTATTTCCCCCACTCTTCTACAGCTATGTTGCCCCACTTTTCTACAAGCTATGGGGCCCGAATCTTGAACCAGCTATGTTGCCAACCTCTTGCACAGCTTTCTTGCCCCACTTTTCTACCAGCTATGCTGCCCGTCTCTTGTACAGCTATATTGCCCAATTCTTCTACAGCTATGTTGCCCCAATATTCTACCAGCTACATCCGAATAGCTTGAGTCTTATAGTACCCGGGTGCGAACGACGGCGCTGCGTGTCTGGGTCCATTTCCGGATGTCATTTTTTGGTAGTTTATTTTAGTTAAACTGAAGAAGTAAGTTTACAAACATATAATGCATTCAATTATCTTTCATTTAATGCCTCATTTTGTCTTACAAAACCGACAATAAAATTTTAAATAGTTTTTAAATCTCAACCTCTCACTTCTGGTACCCTGGTACGAATAGCCACTTCGGATGGCGGATGGCTGGTGTTTGAAGAGGAAGCAGGACACACCAGAAGCTAAATATGTATAAGAGATTTTTAATTTTGAAAAAATTTCTACTGTTAAGTATTTCATAGCGAGATCTCTATTTCTATTCATTAACGACGTTTGAGAAACTATTTAGATTCTTTTTTGAAAGTAAGCACATTCTTGGCATCATAAACGGTTATGCCATTTCCAACAGTACTGTGAAAAAAGTGGGGGGGGGGGGGTATGGGAGAAAATACAATTTGGTAAAGTGTTAATTTATTTTCTCATTTTTATTTTAATTTTATTTTTTTTATTTTTTTTTGTGTTGCAAAAATATTTCTTTAACAACATCGAACAATTGTGTAACCATAGGCCGTAGACAGCTAACCATGTCGCTTGATCCCATCTTCTTAAATCTCTCTCTGTTAGCTTCTGCTCCCCCCCCTCCCCCGCCACGCAATCCTTTTTTTTAATTCAAACTCTGTCTCTTTTTACAAAGACTTACCGGTACGTATAAACGAACATAAAGCAAAGCCAGGCGTAGTTTTTTTTATCCTTTTTTTTTAATTCAAACTCTGCCCCTCTTTACAAAGACTTACCGGTACGTATAAACGAACATAAAGCAAAACCAGGCGTAGTTTTTTTTTATCCTTTTTTTTAATTCAAACTCTGCCCCTCTTTACAAAGACTTACCGGTACGTATAAACGAACATAAAGCAAAACCAGGCGTAGTTTTTTTTATCCTTTTTTTTAATTCAAACTCTGTCCCTCTTTACAAAGACTTACCGGTACGTATAAACCGAACATAAAGCAAAGCCAGGCGTAGTTTTTTTTTTTCCTTTTTATTTTCGAGTAACCCATTTCCAACAAAATTTACCTAACATAATCTCAATTTTCCCTTCTGGGAACACGTGGCGACTGTAGATATGCACCGTTGTCAACTACACACACGCGTTCAACATGCTGTTGTAAGAGTGCGGTCATTTTGGCGCATATTGAATTTGCTTCGATTTTAAAATATGAAAATAAATAAGTAAATATTATCTCGATTTTTTTCATTTTAAAAACGAAAAAAAAAACTTGACTTCCCTTAAAAGCTAAATACTAGAGATCTATCATCTGTAATAGTCCTACGCACTTTCAATAACCGTTCGAATGAACGGTTATTGAATATACAACAAAATAATCAAGTTTCCTAATAAATCTCACCTTTTTACTGACGTGCCACGGTTAGATGCACGCTAGTTCTATTTATAAATTAAGACAAATCCCCAAGCCTGGAAACGGTTAACGGTAATGTTGGAAAGGTTCTATTTGTAGATCGACCCCCCTTTTTTTACCCTTTAAACCCACCTTTTATTATAAACGCTTTAAAAAAAAAAAAAAAACATAATTTACAATATAATTACAGTATTAAAATATTTTTAAAAATTTTTTTTTTAAATTTAAATAGTCAATATAAACATAAAAAGCTGAGTAACCCCCCCCACCCACCCTCACCAAGCCTGAAAACGGTTAACGGTAATTTTGGAAAGGTTCTATTTTTAAATCGCCCCCCCTTTTTTTACCCCTTAAACCCCCCTTTTATTATAAACGCTTAAAAAAAAAAAAAAAAACATAATTTACAATATAATTACAGTATTAAAATATTTTTAAAAATTTTTTTTTTAAATTTAAATAGTCAATATAAACATAAAAAGCTGAGTAACCCCCCCCACCCACCCTCCTTTTTATTTCCTTCTTTAAAATGAAGCTATGTCCTAGTACCGTATTCAAATGCAACTTCTGGTGAAACTCCTACTGACACACCAGCTCGTGTGTTCCACTGGCGTCGATAATCACCCCATACAAATAATGACCTCAAATCAGTGTCACGCTAACACAAACTCCCCCAATTCAAGTATTCCGTCGCTATCGACACCGTACCGTATACTGACCTCAAGTTGATGCCACTCTAACAAGAGCTGCTCAGCTCAGGATTTCCGTCGCTCGCGTCTCATAAAAATGGGCTGTCGAGTTATCTATCAGGAATTTAGTTTTCCTTGAGATATTCATTATAACAATGAGAATGATAATAATTTGCAAAAGTTATAACCGGCTAACAATGTACGAATATCTCTTGCTTGCATCTGCCACGTTGCATAAGATCTGGCCTGCTTTTATAATGCTAACCCAATGGAGATACGACGTCATTCTGGGAATTCAAAATTTACACCATTTTGTTGAAGGATTGTCGAATGTATGAATTCGTGCAACAGCTGGTTAAGGTGAAGGTTATTTTTGTTTTCGTGTGTTTTTCTTTTTTTTTTTTTTTAATATGTGGTAGAATTTTATTTTTATTTGGTTTAAATCGATTTCAAGCAACTTAGAATGTATCTTTCGTGACTCTTAGGGTTGAGCTTTGAAAACTTTCGCTTAAAACCATTTTGTTGAAGGATTGTCGAATGTATGAATTCGTGCAACAGCTGGTTAAGGTGAAGGTTATTTTTGTTTTCGTGTGTTTTTCTTTTTTTTTTTTTTAATATGTGGTAGAATTTTATTTTTATTTGGTTTAAATCGATTTCAAGCAACTTAGAATGTATCTTTCGTGACTCTTAGGGTTGAGCTTCGAAAACTTTCGCTTAAGCGCAGGGCAGCTACAACTTGATTCAACTTGATATAACCAGATGTAAACCGATGAAATCTCTCAGCCAGAAGGAGTAGATAGAGTATCGGTAGCCCGGGGATACAGAAAGAGTGGATAGAGTATCGGTAGCCCGGGGATACAGAAAGAGTAGATAGAGTGTTGGTAGCCGGCGACACAGATGGCGTAGATAGAGTGTCGGTAGGCCGGGGACACAGATGGAGTAGAGAGTGTCGGTAGGCCGGGGACACAGAAGGAGTAGAGAGTGTCGGTAGGCCGGGGATACAGAAGGAGTAGAGAGTGTCGGTAGGCCGGGGACACAGAAGGAGTAGATAGAGTGTTGGTAGCCCGGGATACAGAAAGAGTGGATAGAGTGTTGGTAGCCGGCGACACAGAGGGCGTAGATAGAGTGCCGGTAGACCGGGGACACAGAAGGAGTAGATAGTGTGTTGGTAGACCGGGGACACAGAAGGAATAGATTGAGTGTCGGTAGCCCAGGGACACAGAAGGAGTAGAGAGGGTCGGTAGGCCGGCGACACAGAAGGAGTAGATAGAGTGTTGGTAGCCCGGGGACACAGAAGGAGTAGATAGAGTGTCGGTAGACCGGGGACACAGAAGGAATAGATTGAGTGATGGTAGCCCGGGGACACAGAAGGAGTAGATAGAGTGTTGGTAGCCCGGGGACACAGAAAGAGTAGATAGAGTGTTGGTAGCCCGGGGACACAGAAAGAGTAGATAGAGTGTTGGTAGCCCGGGGACACAGAAAGAGTAGATAGAGTGTTGGTAGCCCGGGGACACAGAAGGAGTAGATCCGTCAAAACCCATTTTGGTGCCCCAAACTAGTCCGCCAACCGGGACCATCAGCCCCCATGCCCCCTTTCTTTTCGCTATGCCAATGCCCCAGCAGACAGTAATGAGACATTAAACATCACCTCTTTTCCTGCGCAGCATTCGACGACTTACTTCGTAAATACTAACCACAACCGCCCTCCCCACCCCACACCCCCCCC